AGCGGGGGGGGTGGCGCGCTGTCGCGAGCGGGCGACGCCGGGGTCCCCGGGGCCATGGGCACCCCGGTCGCCGCCCCCCCCCCCCGGCGTTGGCGCGCCGCGTGCCATATGGCCGCGACGGCGAGAGAACGCGCGGCCGCGGCCGCGCGGTCCCCCCCTCCCCCCCTCCCCCCCCTCGGCCGCCGCGCGAGCACGCGTCGCCGTTTCCTTACGGTTCACGATCTCGCCGGCCATTTTATACTTGGTGACAACCAAGTCCTCGGCGATGGTCTTCTCGGTCTCCTCCTTGTCCGCCATGGCCTCGTTACACACGTAATACTGGAATCCGTAAGGCCCGGTCTACAATGAGTCGTTAGTCATTAGTCAGAAGTCGCAACTATACGTTGATCCTTTTCCTTTCTGGGTAGAAGAAAAAGGACCGACATATAGTTCCGACTTCCGACTAACGACTAACAACTCATTGTAGACCGGGCCTAACCCTAACCTTACGATCCGACTTACGATTGCTTACGATACTGACTGACCAACGACTGTATATAACATATTATAATGATTTAATCATTGTAAACTGGCACTAATATTTTATACAGTTAACTCTAGTTGCATTAAAATAATATATATATATTAATTTAGATGTAATTACCTTTTTATCTCTGTTATCCGATCATACACGTACCGCTTCATTCATTTCTCATGCTACACAAATGCACTCCACAGCACTCAGTGAACTGGTGAATATAAAAATTGAAGCAATAAAGTTGCGCCCGTGCGCACTTTTCGAATTATATCTCAAAAATAGTACGAGATAAATCCAAAACAAACGTTCAAAGGAGTTTAGCACAAACTAATGAATATGAAGCACACTACATTAGACTAAAGACAGTAAAATTATAAATTTGTAATATAACTGTTATGACATATTCGTTATGTATTTTATGTTATTTTCTAGTTACATAGCAGCAACTGAATTTATCGATTGAAGCAGTTATGTAGAAGAAGACAGAAAAATTACACGACTGTAACATAACTGTTATGACGTATTCGTTATATTATTTTGTTACTTTCTAGTTACATAGCAGCTACTGAATTTGTTGACTAAAGCATTTATGTAGAAGAAGACAGAAAAATTACGCAACTGTAACATAACTGTTATGACGTATTTGTTATGTTATTTGTTTCTTTCCAGTTATATAGCAGCTACTGAATGTGTCGACTGGGTAATAGCGCGATAGCGATAGCAAGCTTCATGAACAGCAGTAGCGTAATGGCGGACAACACGTGAGACGACACATGTGCAATACCGTGCATCGCATAAACTTTTCCAGAAAGTGTCATGTTACGTTTAGTATTGAATACCTAATTACACCTATATCTAATCGAAGCGGAAAATATACATTTTGGCACAAATGTATAAGCCAATGCATAAGGAAATAGAGTAATTAATTTCCTTATGCATATGCTTATGCACTTATTCAATAGTGTGTGCTTCTCGCTTTAAACATCAGTTAAAGTTAATGCATAAAGAAAATCATAACATAATAAGAGTATGCTTCTTTGTGCATTAACCGAAATTTAAGATTACATACAGGTTAGAGATCAGTACTAAACGTAACGTAATACATTACGAGAAAGTTTACTCACGAATTTATGTTACCATTATTTTATAATATTTTTTTGAGTCCACCGTTGTACAACACTGTAGCGTTTGTCGCGAGCTCCGCGAACGCATCCAACGTTAACACTACCATTACACTACCTCGGAAGAAATAGCGTTGGTAGCGCTGCCATGCAGCTCTGCGAACAGTCTGCAGTCCTAAATAGCGCTAATATCGTCTCCCCGAACAACCTTCAATAGCAACTACATTTTCATGGTACTCTATTAATATTCAAAGGTATATTCCGATATCTTAATATTTGGAGAAGTTAGAACGCGAATAGTACACGCACGCACGCACGCACGCACTCACATACAGATACATTTTCTTAAAAATATGTTTTTTTTACATTTTGATACATTCTAAAAATATTGCCAATAAAAAGTCAAATACCGGTTTTTTGCACGAAAACAAAGCTTCCTCAATGAAGAAGCAATATTTTATATATCTATAAATTAAAATGGTAAATATTCACTATAGGGGAATCAGCTCCGATGACCTTGACCTTGACATATGTTGTCAAGGTTACCCTCCTGAGTAACCCTCAGAAGGTTTTAGCAGTCACTCGTTGTTTGTTAAAAAGTTATTAAAAAAACAATGTCGACCAATTATATGTAATTTTCAGACGCAAATATTTAAAATTTTGAAAAATGTTTTAAACAAAAGTTGTAGATCTCTTTGAAATATACATTTTGTTTTGTTCATTTTTACTGTGCGAGTAATAGTTTTCGAAAAAAATGATGGACTCTAAATCTTATATCTCTCCTCCCATCTCCATCTGTCGTACGTCATGGAAGTACATGCGTGGAGACAGTGATGCCAGCTAGGACTACCAGCCACATCGCGACAGCGGTGGTGGGGATGGCACGTCCGCGCGCGCACGCACGCACACAGGCAACACGCCGCATATACGCGTCGAGCGCACACGTATATGCGGCGTGTTGCCTGTGTGCGTGCGTGCGCGCGTGGACGTGCCATCCCCACTCTATCCCCACCACCGCTGTCGCGATGTGGCTGGTAGTCCCAGCTGGCATCACTGCGTGGAGACAGTATGTTCCGCCCCCCCTTCGGGGGGGCTCCACTTCGTTAAAAATAACCCTACCCACCCTATGTCAGAGGTGTGGAGTGGATCTCGCTTCACGTGGAAAGTTGCAAACCTATGTGGAACAGTACAATGGTGGAAGTAC